ACACTGCAGACAGACAGATGTGCTGCAGACAGACAGACACACTGCAGACAGACACACTGCAGACAGACAGACACACTGCAGACAGACAGATGTGCTGCAGACAGACAGACACGCTGCAGTTAGACAGACACGCTGCAGACAGACAGACACTCTGGAGACAGACAGACATGCACTGCAGTCAGACAGACATGCTGCAGACGGACACACGTGAACTCCCACCTGCTGTGCACACACAGGCACAGCCTATCCATGCAGCGCGAACAAGAAGCGAGGACACGTGCAAACGTCCAGCGAAGGCAGTTTATTGTCGAGTGAGTCCCCCACGTCCATGAGCCGTCGGAAGGGGGTTCTCCCAGAACAGGTATCCGCCCGGGGAGTCACTCCCCACACTGTGCCCCCGCCCCGTTCCAACTGCAAGTGCGATGGTTTTGTCAGGTCGGTGCTGGGTGCTGGGTGCTGGGTGCTGGGTGCTGAGGTTCAAGGCCATCGCAGGGGCCCAGGGCTGCCCATCTCTCCAGAATCCCAGAGGGGCAGGGGCCGGGGGGCCCGCTCAGCCTGTCCAGTCCCGGCAGGTGTCTCAGTAGCAGCCGGACCAGTACCTCCCATAGCAGCAGGGCCGGTAGCAGCTGTACCCGTAGCCGCCGTAGCCACCGTAGCCACCGTAGCCACCAAAGCCACCGTAGCCACCATAGCCACCAAAGCCACCGTAGCCACAGCCATAGCCACAGCCCAGGCCGCCCCAGCCGTAGCCCAGGCCTCCCAGGCCGTAGCCACAGCCCAGGCCTCCGTAGTAGCCGCCGTAGTAGCTCATGGTGTCGGGGGAGGGTGCAGAACGGGTGCTGCTCGCAGACTCTGCCCCTCTGGCCTCCGCGGGGCCTTTTATGCGCCCTCGGCAGGGGCGTGGCAGCGAGCCGCCGGCGTTTGGCAGCTAATTAGTGGGGAGACTGCGTCATGAACAGTGTGCTCATCGGGACAGAGCCCCGCGCGCATCCGTGTGGATTCCTCACGCCGCCTCTGGAGGTGCGCACACGCCTGTGGTCATCCAGCCACACTCGGGGCCACACGCAGGCTCCGTGACAGGCTCCTGGCGATGCCCAGCTGGACACCACACAGGCCACGGGCGGCTTTGAAAGGATGATGTCACCTCTTGGCCGACGTCGCCGACGCCGGAGACCCCAGGGCGCAGGGCAGGACTCCAGGTCCCTTCCTGTGACCGCCAGCCCTGCCTGGGGCGAGACGCCCAGTGTCCAGGCCGATCCTGCTTCGGGGCTCCTTTTAGGTTTTTTGTTTGTTGGGGGCAGGATTGATTGGGCGTTTGATTGCCAACAACGTTTTTAGACTCACTCACAGCCGCCGTTCTCACTGGGCTGGGTGTTTTCATGTGGTTTCGGTGCTGAGTTTTATATGCATCTGCATTTCGTCAGCACGAGATCTAAAGGACGCTTGTCAGGGAAAGCAAGTATGCAAATCGTGTGTGTGTGACACTGACGAGTGTGATAGCCACGCGGCACACGTGTCGTAATGTATGTATTGCGAAGTCTATTACTACACTAGTCTCTAAGCCTGTCCTTGGTGAATGAGTCACTTCTCCCCTCTCTCTGACGGATCCCCTGCATGTTTCATAGTAAAACCCTCAGCCCAGAGAAAGACACGCCAAGAACCGTGTACCCACGTGTGCAGGGACCACCGGCAGCATCAGCAGCACAGGTGGAGGGTCCGGCAGTTAAGTTCCAGAGGGTGTGTGTGTGCACGTAATGAGCTACGCCCTCCCGGGTCCTGCCGGGCCACACAGCCGCGCTGCTTCATAAAGCTGCTCGTTTCTTTCCTCGGCGCCGGCTCGATCGCCAAGAACAGTGCGCGTTCTGTGAATAAACTCCGTTCCGTCGCTACCCGTTCATTGCCGCTGTTAGAAAGAATGATGGCGGTGTCGCGAGCGATGCATGAAAATGGCAAGAAACCTCCACCTACTCGGGCTGGGGCCAGAGTCTCCATGCGGCGGAAAGATCAGAGACCAAACACGTTTAATCTTTTTATGGGTGGAGGTTTTTTTTAAAATATCTGATACCAAATCTCTAGATCCTGTTCTTGGCATGATCCCAATGGCGATAATACTTGGGAAAGATAAAGGCCTAACGCTTCGTTATTCAATGACCCTGTGCACGTTCTGCTGTGGAGAAGGGAGCCAGCCTCTACTTCTGTACTTTCCGAGACGATGGCTTCCGTCTACGTGCTCTGGTCAATGTTATTGTCCCTGTAAAAGCCACGAGTGGGCTTCGCAAGGGACGCTGACCTGGGGCGGGGATTTCCAGTTGCCATGGTTACAGGTCATCTTTCTGTAGAGGATGTCACTGCACCCGAAAAAGTACACAGACCAAGAGATGGTGCAGTGGGATGTGAATAGTGTAAAACTTATTCAATGATCAGACTTGGGAAAGACAGGAAAATCGAATCAACTACGGTGAGAGCAACAAAAGGCTACCATTAGATGGATAGTTATAAAATAAGCATTATACACGATAAGCCTTTCATGTACACTAGCAGCGCCTTTCAGAACATGTCATTCAACAACTAGAGGCCCGGTGCATGAAATCTGTGCACAGGTGCAGTCCCCAGTCCTGGCGGGCGATCTGCATGAAATCTGTGCACAGGTGCAGATCCCAGCTCATCTCTGGGCCCTGGCAGCACCTGGGTCCCTGGGCCCCTGCACACCCCTCTCTGCCTGAGTCATCGGGCCCCCGCCTGGCTCCCTCAGCTCCTGGGAAAGATAAAAGCTCGCCTCTGTCTGTGGGGCGATCGGGCCCCACTCCCGTCCACCTTGGCCTGGTGCCACCTGCTCACCTGCTCCACTGTCCCGCCGGGGTCCTGCTCTTTTCCGGGCCCATCAGGGCGGGCAGCACCTCCACTGCCACCCACTGCCAGCACTGCGTCGCCGACACCCACCATGTTCTGCACCGCCCCCTGGTGGTCAGCACACGTCATAGTGAGCAGTCAGACTCCCGGTCAAACTCCCGGTCAAGGGGACAATTTGCATATTAGGCTTTTTTTATAGCTTTTTCTAGTTTCAATAACAGTGTCAAACCGAGCGGTGGAATGAGCAAGGAGTGGATGAGATGTTGGCATTGGTGGGAAAGCTGTATGGAAAGATATAGGAGACTTGGATGACGTTACACCACCTAGTTCATTGTGTGAGAACATAAAACACAGAAATGATCGCAGCCTCCCAATTTCAATCTATAAATATAAGGGGTCCTAATCTATATCACAGTGTGAGTTGGAGCCGGGGGATTTCCAAATTATCTTCTTTATCTGAAAAACGAATATTGTTTTCCACATCAGAACTTTTCCAGTAGGTATTAAAATATATAAAAGAAACAGCATGGCACCATGATTAGAATTAAAAGCTCATGAAAATACACTAAAATGTCCAATTTATCTTCATGTTCATTTTTCTCCTAGTGTTTTCTTTAGGAATTTTGTGAATATAAAAAAGGGTGTTACCTTTTTACTTATCTTTTGTGCTGTCTTTTTTAAGTTTAAGTACAAAAGTAATGTGAACTTTACGAAGTGTATTTCCATATTGGTCTATGTAACCTTTGAAGATCTAGAAAAAAACACTCTTGAAAGATTTATTGGACACATTTTCATTTGTTTCCATAATTACTACTCTAATTGCTCATTTCTTCTTGAAATATTTATAGAGTTAAAGCCTGACTTTATTGGGGTATTTTCAATTTACTAGCATACTTCTTGAATGATGTTGACCTATAATTTGTAAGAAAAAGCCCTTCTATGATTATTTTATATCTTCTTGCTTATATTTAACTGTTTATACATATACACACACAAACAAAATTTACATCATAGATTTTTTTCTTTTTCTTTTTTATTTCTTCAACCAACTGACCAATTTATCAAACTCTACTAACTTTTTGTATTCTAATGTTTAGTGTTTGCATTAATTTTTGTTACTTTCTCTTTCCATTCACTTTGTAATTGCCTGTTTGGCCTTTTTCTAATTTTTGAACTTCATAAATATATCTTTAATTTCATTCCTTCAATTGTTAATATTAAATAAGACACATATTTAAAGTACCACATGTTTCACTTTATATATTGAAACACAAATTTATATTTTCATATGAAATAAAAGATTTTCTGTTTTATTGTCTTATCCTTGATTTTTTTCTTCTACTCAGTACTTAATTAAAATACATACTAGTATTTCAATAAAGTTTTTATTAAACCAGTCTCTAGTTTGTTATCATCCTGGGTTAATACATACAAATGTTTCATATTTTAAGTTATTGAGCTTTTTCTGAAACACAGAATATATTTGCTATTTTTCTGAATATTCTACAAATTACTGAAGAAAATGATTAAGAATATTACTGTCATTCTATAGCATCGACTGTATTTCTCATTTCACCTATGTATTTTCTCCTAAATGTATAGTTGCATGATAAATTACCTAACATCAGTTGTCTTCCTCTGGAATTTGATTATTTCTGATATTTCACTTCCTATCATTTCAAGCTCTATTATTTGGCTCAGAGTTGACAAGAATTGTTACTTTATTACCAACTAGAGGCCTGGTGCATGAATTCATGCACGGGTGGGGTCCGGCCAGCCAGCCCCGTTGGGAGCCCATCAGGCTGGGCCAGTGGGGCAGAGGGTCCACGGGAGGTTGGCCGGCCCCGCCCTGATTGGGGTGTTGGGGGCCGATTGGGGGCAGGGCCGGCCACGGGGAGGGCAGCTCCTTCTGTGGTTGGTGTGATTCTCTTAATTTGACCTCTGCTTTCTGAGACTGGACCTGGGTTTTCCTGTCACTCCTGGACTTCATTCATGCGCTTTCAATTTGGGCTTGGTGACCTCACTCGGACGTTAGGGCTCCTGTCTTTGAGCCGCTATGTCAGTTACTGCCTCCTTCCCTGCCCCTTTCTCCTTCCCAAATCCTTCCTTCTCCCCCTTCCTCTGGCCAAGTTTACTGAGTCAGTGGTGACTCAATCTGAATGTTGACTCACTAATCAAATCAGTGGGCGTTTCTTAATTTGGCTCACAAAAGGGCTCACAACAAAGGTGTTGGGGGCTGATCAGGGGCCGGGCGGCCAGGAGGGGGCGCCAACCGGGGTCCGGATCAGGCCAGTTGGCTGCCGCAGTGTGCGCCATAGCCACCGATCATTCCGGTCATTCTGGTCCTTCCACCGTTCCGGTCTCTGGGCTTTTATACGTATAGATTGCCCTGTTATCAATGTGCAGCAGTACATTTGGACCAGGTAATCCTTTCAATTTATTCTTTATTTCAGAAGACTTTTGGTGCTCTTGTTTTTATCCTGTTTTGCCTTTTAACTATTTGGCTATCTTTTTTTTTTTAAATAAAAGTTTCCCTTTTTCCTGATGAAAGCAAATGACCGCTACTGACACCTAGTGGTAGCTACTCCAAATGCACAAAGTAATGATGTTAATTTGCTGGAATTATTATGGGTGAGATAAAGACTACTTTGGGAACAATACAGTAACGATGCCTCCGTCGTGGTCACAAAGTTCTGGAAGTTATGGACCCTTCAATGTACCAAATCACTGAAAATTATAGATTTAATTCTCACAGTCGCCTTCAGGGCATAGTGGCCTCCGTGTGGGGCTTGAAGTGCTTCTGGTCACATGGGGATGGCACGTTGTGTGAGTAAGTCGTCCTGGGCTGATACTGTTAAACGTCCAGGTTGTGGAATTCCCAGCCTACTGATTCCTGGCTCAAAACACGACTTTCTCCTCATTCCCAGCCTCGCCGCTCCTCGCGGGGAAGCAGGAAGCCCGGTGGCCTTCCTGACAGCGACTTCTCGGAGGATATGAACAAGTCAGTGTCTGGTTATCACTCCATTCCCGTATGGAACAGCGATGAGGTGGCAATAACATGGGCCTGTGACAGTCTTTTGTCTCTAAATTAATCAAACGGTCTGACTATAATGTGGTTCCACGTGGGTTCACTATAAGGAGGGTTCACACACCAAGCAAACTCCAGCACTGCCGTTTCTGCAGCAATCACGTCTTATTCTGTACGAACGAGCTGGCTGTGTGCCATAGGCACCCACTCGGACTTGGTCATGTCAGCCCCTGCGACACGGACTTGTTCCCGAGGCGCTAACGGGACCTGCCACCTAACAGCCTGACGCTGAGGAGCCGGACTAGACGCGGCTCCTTCCCGCAAACGCCTTCCCCTCCGGAGGCATCCGCACCGCAAGGCTTTGCTGGAGTTTGGTCACCGAACCCGCTCGGCCTGCCTGGCCTTCAGCAGCCTCCGTGACAAGGCAGCTCCTGTTGGCCAAAAGGAAAAGTGATGTTTTCACTTAAGAAGTAGGATGTGTAGGACAGCAGACACGTATGTGCACGGCAGTGGTTACAGACATAACATAAAACCTATGGCATGGCTTTCTATGCATCACGTGCAGTTGTGGTTCTGTCGCCGTGGCGAGGCATCAATGCGAAAGCCATCTCTCGGTCGGCATGGCAGCAGGATGGTAGAGTGGACGTGTCCGATTCCAGAAGAGTCGTTATCCTACTGGCTCCGAAGCTATTACCAGCCGTTCTCAGTGTCCAGAACCACCAGGGAGCTACCATTGTTGGGGGTGACTTTGTATCTTATCTCATTAACGTGTCACGAAACCCTAAGAGACAGACATGCCCTCAGTTTAGCGAATCGAGCAGTTGAGGCACAGAGAGGCCAAGTAATCGGCCCCAAAGCGCACACACAGCAGGTGGGGGCTCCGCGTCAGACCTGCGCAGTGATGTGGGCCCCCCGCTCGCCTTCTTCAGCTTCGTCTTCCCTTCCGACGACCACCTTCCCCCCCCACCCCCCGGGAACATGAAGAGTTGACATAGTCAGACTCCCCCCGCCTCGCACACACACTTCTTTGGATCTGATGGGATCGCATGTCTGGAAATTTGCTCCACTAACCACCTGGGAAGATCCCGTTCAGAGCACCCGCTGGAGGTGCTCCTGGTCACCCTCCAAACCACTGCGAGTCGAGCACCTTCCTCCAGCCCAGGAGGCAGGTGAGCTGAGCGCCATGGGACCGAGAGACGCCTGCAGGGGTTTCCCATCTCCTGCTGACAAGGGAAGAACAGCAGCTACACGGGCGTGAAGCAGAAAATAGAAATCCCGCCCGGAGGAGCTCAGCATTAAAGGAGGCAGCGGAGCCGGGCCTGGCTCAGTGGCTGAGCGTCTACCTATGAACCAGGAGGTCACAGTTCGATTCCGGTCAGGGCACAGGCCCGGGCTACAGGCTGATCCCCAGAGGAGGCAGCCGATCGGTGCTTCTCTCTCATCATGGATGCTTCTCTCTCCCTTCCTCTCAGAAATCAATAAAAATATATTTAAAAAATAAATAAGTAAGTAAATATAAGGGTGCGGCAGAGCTGGTCTGACGGGTGCGATCCCACGGCTGGGGCGGGTGTGGGAGGGAGGGCGAGGCTATGGCTTGGCCCTGGCGCTGGTTTTGCTGTGACCACAGGAGACGGAAAGCTTGTTGTGATTGGGGGTGATGAGTGTCAGTCACGCAGAGCCACGCGGAACCTGGTTCTCGGTGCGGAGGCGCCTCCGGGCGTGGGTTGGTATTTCAGTCCCATCGTCGTCATCATCATCATCATCATCATCATCATCATCATCATCATTGTCGTTGTCGCTACATATACAGGGCGGGCAAAAGTAGATTTATGGTTGGGAGTACACAAGACATGTTTATTCTCACAATAGACCATCGTATTCTTTTTCCAACGAATGACTGTGAAACTACTGTTGCCCCCATTTTATAGATATGATTCCTATATTGACGGTTTTTTCACTCGTTTGTTAGTCACTTGTGCAGTGAGGAGCCAGCCCTCTGTTATAAAAATGCTGCTAATGGCGAAGAATACAGACATAGACGAGGCGAGACGGGATGCTCAGAGGGATGCTGACCTCTATTTCACTGAAAACCCCTCTGCGTGTCTGTGCCTTTCCGTGTGCTCGTCCCTCCACCCCGAGCGACGTCGCATCCCATTCTCACCGGTACTCGACCTGTGCTCGACAACACGTTCAACAATGTCATTGTGAGGACACTGTGGGGTTGGTGCTCTGGGTAGAACTGAAGGACCCCCCAGAGCGGATACCAATGTCCTGGGGAGCGGCTCCCGGGGTAAAACAGGCCACGACCCAGCATCTCATGAGTGTGGACTTACAGGAGCCCTCCGCCAGGAAATGCTCAGTGTCACTGCAGCCCAGCACTGAGCTCCAATGAGATCCAGTACGGACTCATTAGCAATTCCTTAGCTGTCAAAGGCTTGAGTGGAGCTCATTTAATAGGCTCATTCCAGACAGACACGCCCCACCCTCCCCAGAACTTTGACTCCTGGACTGAGCTTTGAACCAACGTGTTCCGATGAGTAGATCATCGATGGGCACTGTTCTCATTGACGTGTCATTGGCTCAAGACAAGGCCCAGGCGACACAAAACAAGCACGGTTCCCAGTAAAAGTGAGAGACTCTATACTAATGGTCGTTAACTACCGAGTCCTCTCATGATCCACTGACAGGAGTGACCTGCACATACCGGGCGTTAAGTGAATGTTTCCTGCGTGAGTCACAGACACGATGGCATTCCCGGGCCCTTCCTGGCGGATATAAAGCTTCGAGGGGAGGAGGCGACATTCACACTCAGAAACGTCCCTCTTCGCCTCAACCCAACCTTCACCCTCCGCCAACATGTGCTGCAACTACTACGGGAACTCCTACGGGGGCTGTGGCTACGGCTCTGGCTATGGCTGTGGCTACGGCTCTGGCTATGGATCCAGATATGGCTGTGGCTATGGCTCTGGCTATGGCTGTGGTTACGGCTCTGGCTATGGCTGTGGCTACGGCTCTGGCTATGGCTGTGGCTACGGCTCTGGCTACGGCTGTGGCTATGGATCCAGATATGGCTGTGGCTATGGCTCTGGCTATGGCTGTGGCTATGGCTCTGGCTATGGCTGTGGTTACGGCTCTGGCTATGGCAGTGGCTGCTGTACCTTCCGACCATCCTGCTACCAACGATGCTATTCCACTTGCTGCTAGAACATGTCCCATTCGTCATCTCTACACTCCAGTGAGGATTGGACACCTCCTGTTTTTACATCCAATTCTTGTTTGTTATTGAGGAAGTAGGAATGCGTCCATTCTTGGACCCGAAGACGGAAGTAGTGATTGTGATTACGTTCACAATGTCCACGCTCGGCTTTTCTATCCTATGAGGTTGTGTTGTCCTGGAACACAAATACGCCAGAGTTGGAAGAAATTATAGTATTTCAATAAACAAACGTGATGTGTTCCTGGAAGTAACTGTGTTTGTGTCAGAATCTTCACTGTCCCGGTGGCCTTCCCAGAAGCTGATCGGCCACTGTGTCCACCGATCCTTGGGTTTCTTATTCCGTCATCGACTACATGCGCCCTTCTCTCACCAACACACATGGTCTTGTTTACTGCAGGTCGCAGTAGGTCTTAGTGTTGGGTGATGTGTATGTTCCAACCTTGCTCCTCTTCACAATTAACGTGGCTCTTCTGGTTTCTTTGTTTTCCATCTAAACTTTAGAATCAGCTTGTCAAAATCTACTAAAATACCTGCTGAGAGATTTATTGGGATTGAATGGAATCCATTCACCAATTGTGGGGGAGTGGATTCTTCACACTATTGAGTCTCTGGTCCATAAACATGGGGTGTGGGTCTCCTTTGATTTCTGTGGCGGGTTCACATTCAAAATTCAATGATGAGCTTTGTACTCACTGAAGGCATATTCTGGAGGGGGAGGTGAATAGCAGTGTAAGAATCAAAAACACATTTAAATAACTAAATAAAATAGTGAATTAACAGAATTATAAAAGGTGTTTATAATGATTAATGACACAGACAGTGGGTTGCTGTGAACTATCACGTGGCCTATAAAACTCACTGAAGAAACAGACACTCTTCACAGGCTTGTAACTTCCTAATAGATTGAACCAATAATAACCTTCCAAAACAGAAAGCTTCACGGGAAAATTCTCCAAAAGTTTTAAAGAATAAGTTACACCAATTCTCTACAATCACTTCCAGAAATAAAACCAGAGGGAAAACTTACCAACTCATTCAATGAGGTCGCCATTACCTTAATACCAACACCAGGGAAAGACATTACAAAAATAAAGACTACAGTCAAATATCTAGATGAACATAGATACAAAAGGTATAAATGAACATGGTACAAAAATTAAGCATCAGCAATTTGACTCCGGCATTGTGTAAGAAGAATTATACACATCCACCTAGTGAGATATACCCCAATTATGCAAGGCAGGTTCAGTGCTCAAAAATGAATTAATGTAATTTACTACATTAGCAGCCTGAAGAAGAAAAATCACATGATCGGTTCAATATCTGACAAGATCCAACATCCATTCGTGAATAAAATGTTCCTATAATCAGGAAAAAAGGAAACTTCCTCAACTTGATGGAGAATATAATATGTACACAAATCCTATTAGCAGTGTCACGCATACTTAACAGCAAGAAACCAGACATTTTCCCGCTGTGATCAGAAGCAAGGCAAGGAAGTTCTCTCCGTGTTCCTCCTCAATGTCATATTGGAATACCTTGCTGATGCAATAACACAAGATAAAGAAATAAAAGTCATATTTATGAGAGATAGAAAGAAAAAAAAGATGAAAAAATGAAAGGAAGGATGGAAGGAAACAAGGAAAGAAGGAAGGAAGGAAGGGAGGAAGGAAACTGTCTTTTTCTACATGGGCATGATTGTCTCGGTAGAAAATCCAAAAGAAAAAAACAGAGAAAACAAAACTTCTGTAAGTAACAGGTGATTGAAGCAAGGATAGAGTATACAAGGTCAATATACAAAAGTCAATTGCTTTTCTACATATTAATATGAAATTAGACAATAATAGCATGGACTATAGCAGCCAAAGTATGAAATACTTAGATATAAATTTAAAAGAAATGTGTACATGATCTATATGAGCAAAACCATAAAACTCTCATGTAAGAAATTTGGGAAGAACTAAATGAAGAGCTATTCTATGTTTACGGATGGGAAGACTCAATATGTGGAGATAGTTCTTAGATTCCCTGCAATCCCACTCAAAGTTCCAGCCTATTGTTGTGTGGATTTCACCAAAGTGATTAGAAAGTTTCCATGGAGAGGGGGGCCCAGAACAGCCAGCACAATATGAGGGAAGGAACCAGTTGGAGAACAAACTCTACTCGACGTTAATTCTCACGATGAAGCCACAGTCATCAGCACAGGGAGGCTATTCCTGAAGAAATAGAATCGATTTTTATGAGTGAGATCTATGTGTAGTCTCATTTATTAACCTCTTAACAGAGGACATTTCAATGTGTGCTATGAACAGAGAATGAATGTATGTGATCCCTGCTTTCTAAAAGTGTGGGAAACGCAAATAATACATGAGCTATAAAGGTGGAATGATTGCTCTAATACAGTGATGGCGAACCTTTTGAGCTCGGCGTGTCAGCATTTTGAAAAACCCTAACTTAACTCTGGTGCCATGTCACATATAGAAATTTTTTGGTATTTGCAACCATATTAAAACAAATGCATATTTTTATATTTATTTTATATATTTAAATGCCATTTAACAAAGAAAAATCAACCAAAAAAATGAGTTTGCGTGTCACCTCTGACAGGCGTGTCATAGGTTCGCCATCACGGCTCTAATATGATAACACACCGGGGTGCTTGGGTAATGCAGAGGAAGAAGTCAGAGGAGAGGCCAGGACGAAGACTAAGAAGAGAGAAGGGTCCGGAATCTTCCTGAAAAAGAGACAAACTTCTAGCTTAAACAGGAAGGGGGTGGGTCAGAGTCGGCCAACCACACGCGAACGGAAATAGCTTTGAGGACAGGAGACGATGCCCAGATGCTGACCCCGCGTTGCAGCAGCTCCCTCCATCCCGAGGAGATGCAATAGTTTGGCTTCATGAAGACCTTGGCAGGCTCGGCAGTGAGCGTCCAGGCGGACCCCCAGGGACACCCAGCCACGTGGAACGGCCTTCCTTGCAGCCTGTGAAGGACCAACACGTGCCTCTCACATTGGGAGAAAAAACTCACTTTTATGATCATGTTATGGTTGGGGTTGGAATAAAAAATCAAGATGAATAAATTGAATTTCACTTTTAAAAATGATAACTTTTTAGCATAAATATGTCTCATGCTCTCTCAGGGACAGACATGCCAATGGGCAACTCCAATTAAATGATACACCAATCAGATTCCCCCGCGTCCTGGCTGGCCCCTTGGGTGTGACCTCGTGAGAATCAGAGCTGAGATGCCAGTCAGGCTGAGCTCAGACCCCAGACCCATGAGGCCTGTGAGATCACAAGTGGGTGCTGCTCCTGCTGCTCCTGTGGGGTCACTACAACGGGCCTCCTCGCGGTCCTCTCCGTGACCTGGGGGGGTGCAGGGGGCCTGGGTGACCTGGGGGTCAGGTCTGCGTATTAACAGGGGTCAGGAGACCAGTCACGGGGATGATGTCAGAGACCAAGCCCCTGGAGGGACAGGGAGAAGTGGGGGGCTGTCAGCCATGCCTGAGGGGACTGGCTCCTGCACAAAGTGCTGAAGGAAAGTTCATGCAGGACCCAGAGTGTCCCCGGGAAGAATGGGAGACTCAAAAGTGACTGGGGGCTTCATAACAGGGTAACTTTACCAAGAAAATGGATCCTTGTAGGAAATGATGAGCTCCCTGTTACAGCAACTGTTCACGTCTCCAATGATTAGAAAGGAGGACGTATGTCACATTACAAAGAGGAACAGAGACGTGATCTTGGTGCTGCATGAGCTGTGTGGATTTTAGAAAGTTCCCTAACCTTTTTGTACCTCAGTTTCCATGTGATGAGGTCCCTAATCTTTCACAATTTCAGGGGCGTCACATAGATGCAATGGCTGAGGGGACCTGTGCTCGACAACACGTTCAACAATGTCATTGTGAGGACACTGTGGGGTTGGTGCTCTGGGTAGAACTGAAGGACCCCCCAGAGCGGATACAAAAGTCCAGGGGAGCGGCTCCTGGGGTAAAAGATCACCATGAGTGTGGACTTACAGAAACCCTCCGCCAGAAAATGCTCAGTGTCAGTGCAGCCCAGCACTGAGCTCCAATGAGATTTACTAAGAACTAATTAGCAATTCCTTAGCCAGTCAAAGCATTGAGTAGAGCTCATTTAATAGGCTCATTCCACACAGACACGCCCCTCCCTCCCCAGAACTTTGACTCCTGGACTGAGCTTTGAAACCACGTGTTCCGATGAGTAGATCATCGATGGGCACTGTTCTCATTGACGTGTCATTGGTTCAAGACAAGGCCCAGGAGACGCAAAACAAACACGGTTCCCAGTAAAAGTGAGAGACTCTATACTAATGGTCATTTACTACCGAGTCCTCTCATGATCCACTGACAGGAGTGACCTGCACATACCGGGCGTTAAGTGAATGTTTCCTGAGTGAGTCACAGACGCGATGGCATTCCCGGGCCCTTCCTGGTGGATATAAAGCTTCCAGGGAAGGAGGCGACATTCACACTCAGAAACGTCCCTCTTCACCTCAACCCAACCTTCACCCTCCGCCAGCATGTGCTGCAACTACTACGGGAACTCCTACGGGGGCTGTGGCTACGGCTCTGGCTATGGCTCTGGCTATGGCTGTGGCTATGGCTCTGGCTATGGCTGTGGCTATGGATCCAGATATGGCTGTGGCTACGGCTCTGGCTATGGCTGTGGCTATGGATCTGGCTACGGCTGTGGCTATGGCTCTGGCTATGGCTGTAGCTATGGCTCTGGCTACGGCTGTGGCTATGGATCCAGATATGGCTGTGGCTATGGCTCTGGCTACGGCTGTGGCTACGGCTCTGGCTATGGCTGTGGTTACGGCTGTGGCTATGGCTCTGGCTATGGCAGTGGCTGCTGTACCTTCCGACCATCCTGCTACCAACGATGCTATTCCACTTGCTGCTAGAACATGTCCCATTCGTCATCTCTACACTCCAGTGAGGGTTGGACACCTGTTTTTACATCCAAGTCTTGTTGTTATTGAGGAAGTAGGAATGCGTCCATTGTGGGACCTTAAGACGGAAGATGTGATTGTGATTACGTTCACAATGTCCACGCTCGGCTTTTCTATCCTATGAAGTTGTGTTGTCCTGGAACACAAATACGCCAGAGTTGGAAGAAATTATACTTTTTCAATAAACAAACTTGATGTGTTCGTGGAAGTAACTGTGTTTGTGTCAGAATCGTCACTGTCCCTGTGGCCTTCCCAGAAGCCGATCGGCCACTGTGTCCGCCGATCCCTGGGTTTCTTATTCCGTCATCGACTACATGCGCCCTTCTCTCACCAACACACATGCTCCTGTTTACTGCAGGTCGCAGTAGGTCTTAGTGTTGGGTGATGTGCGTGTTCCAACCTTGCTCCTCTTCACAATTACCGTGGCTCTTCTGGTTTCTTTGTTTTCCATCTAAATTTAGAATCAGCTTGTCAAAATCTACAAAAATACCCTGCTGAGAGTTTTATTGGGATTGAATGGAATCCATTCACCAATTATGGGGGAATGGACTCTTCACACTATTGAGTCTTTTGGTCCATAAACATGGGGTGTGGGTCTCCTTTGATTTCTGTGGAGGCTTTTCATTCAGAATTCAACAATGAGCTATGTGCTCACTGAAGGCATGTTTTTGAGGGGGAGGTGAATAGCAGTGCAAGAATCAAAAACACGTCTAAACAACTAAATAAAAACAGTAAATTAACAGAATTATAAAGGGTGTTTATAATGATTAATGACATAGACAGTGGGTTGCTGTGAAATATCATGTGGCCTATAAAACTCACTGAAGAAACAGACACTCTTCACAGGCTTGTAACTTCCTAA